CTACTCTACACTGCTCAAAACTCGCGTTTGAATTGTCAGTGGCAAATTCTTTAAATACAAAAGCATACTTACAGGCTGTGAGTCAGCATTATTTATCAGCATTGTAGGCTACTCTCCCAGGATCAGTAAACAGTCCTCGTCCTCCGTAAAATGCGTTGCTCACATCTGAATATTTGGGTTGAACTGTTCTGGAACAGTGTTGTAAATACAACTTAACCACTGATTTCTAGTCGTGTCCTCTTTTGGAAGGCCAAACAAAGTAGTTTCACTTTCACAATGAAACACACAGCGTCTCCATGACATGGCGGCGGCAGCAACAACAATACTACAGCAAGAATAAAAGTTACGCCTTCTTTCTTTGCGTGAACATTTGGGCGGCGTTATGCAAATCTTCCCACACAGTGACGTAGACATGTGGGGGTGTGTTAGAACGAGGCGTTTTAGGAGGGTGTGGACGAGTCTTAACTTTTATAAAGAATATCTCTTTGGGTTTGAGACTTTAGTCTTTGCAACTTTAGGGATCTTATCTATGCACGAACAGCTTATAACACTCCAAAGAGAAAGGAAAACTTGAAATCACATCATATCACCCCTTTAAATGGACTTTAAAGTGAAAATGAAATTGTAATTTATAATGTGAAACATGATATTCAATTGAAAAAATGTAGGATGGTGCTTTAGTATTATTTTGTGGCTTCCATATTGATATATGCAATGAATTGTCAGTAATTTCATGAATTAATCAGCATGTTACATAATTAATTCAACTGCATTTATAAAATCAGTTGACAGCCTTTCCTATACCATCGTCTCATTCACCTTCCTCTTCCTCTGCTGTCCGCCCCCGTTGGACTTAGAGCCACGAGAAAGAGAGAGACATGTGTAGGAGGAAAGAACAGGATGGGAGGAAGATTACAACAGAAGCCTGGCTGCTATTTTCAGACCAGTTGCATCTGTGTATAAATGCATGTGTGTGTTGTGATAAAACGGCCGGTTATTGAACGTACATGCTGTAATGCATGCTCTCAGCGACCCGGTTCACCAGAATCGTCCCCTGATGCTGACCTGTGGGCCGGTTGAGTGTTAAAGGAGTGGGCATGGGTTTGCTGAACACAGATTCAGCAGTCTCTTTGTGTTGCGTAAAACGCTCAGTCAGTCGGGCAGCGTTCCCAGAGGCACTTCTCTAAAGACAACGGGACGCAGAACAGCACTAGAGGAGTTTTAATGACATTTATCATCATCACAATGTTCCCACTTCATTCGTATGTCTTTCTTTTCCTAGTTTATTAACCATTTAGATCAGAGATTTCCAAACTGGGGTTTGCAAGCTGATGAAAAGCAGATTATTCATTAAAATGATTTAATAACCTTTATGTAACACTTTATTTTAAGAATCAATTCTCACTATTAACTAGCATTAATATTTCTAGAATATTGGCTGTTCATTAGTACTTATTAAAGGTCCCATATTGTCAAAACTGAAATTTCCTGGCTTTTTTCACAATAACTGAAGTCTAGGGCCTATTTAACTACCATATAAGTTTCGAAACAGTCAGTCCACAGTAAAATGCACACAGCCTGCATAAAGTAGCTGTGATTTTTCACAACAGGCCAATCAGAAGAGAGGCTCATGAATATTAATTAGACAGACTAAAATCGACCTGTTCTCCTGAGAGAGCTGTAAAAATATTTTGAGATGGTTTTTGGTACTTATACCGCAAATATATATTCTTAAAGACATCAAAACCTAAAATATAACTCCAGAAAGGTGTAAAATATGTGACCTTTAATGCCTTTTTTTGCATGACCATATTTAAGATATCTTAACCCTACCCCATATCTAAACTTAACTTAACTACCTAACTAACTATTAATAAGCATCAAATTAGTTTATTGAGGCAAAGGATGTAGTAATGTTAGTGAATAGTGGGGAATTTGACCTTAAAATAAAGTGTGTCCACAATTTATTTTTAATTTAACTTATTAAACCATTTTAAAATTCATTAAGATTTCAGAGGTACTTCAGAAAAATATTTGAGGTCAAAGGTGTTCAGATGACAAAAAAATTATCTAGATAATGATCTAGATAATGATTTCTATGGGTAGTTGACAAAGTTTCAAGTGTCCTGCTGTAATCATTGTAACATTCTATAATCCACCTGAAAATAATTTTTATGTAAAAAAATTGTAAAGTACAATTATTTTAAACAAATCTTTTTTAATTACATTTAAATTAAATTAAATTTACATTTAATTTTAAATTAATTTAAAAACTCTTGTATGATCATTAAACATGAAGTTTTAATGAACTTATTAATGGACTACATAGAATATGTATACTTTTAAATGAATTTGTTAAACTGCAGGACCACATATACTTTCAAATGTGGTTTCAGATCTAAATGTCACTTTTTTTCTCTCTCTTTTTAAAATTTTTTTATGTAGGACCAAAATGAGCACAGGTTGTGGATGAACGAGTTCAGTGCTGGTTAGTTATATGGAACTAGTCTGGCAGTAAATAGAGGGCAGAAGTCAAACACAATATTTGAGCTCGAGGAACTTTGATCTGCAAATATGATTCACCGAAAAAAAATCAGTCTGTAATAAAATTTTGTTGTTGACTTTGAACATAAACAGTTCAATGTATGTTGTGAAGAGTATTTTAGAATAATAAATGAAAATGCTCAATCAGAACATATGTCATGATAAATATGTAACTATATGAAGCAGTTGATTTCACTCTGAAAAACAGAAAGCAAGCAGCTGATAGATGTTAGGTTTGGTTAGGCCACATGTTAAGGGAGGTTAAGAGGTTTTTCTGGCTGCGAGTGAACGCTGCTGGGATGATTGCAGGGACTAAAACCCCCCACCGTCCTTTAAAAATGGATGATGTCTCTTTTATGGAACTTGAATTTCTCCCATGATGCCTCGGCAGCCTTATCTGCACCTCCGCTGTCATCACTCAGACGTGTCGACATCGTGTCATCAGTGGTTTTAAAACAAACAAACTCGTTCAACAGCGGCACCGAAGTGAAACACGGTAAACAAGTGATTAAAAGGAAGCTGGAAACTCAACTTTGGAAAAGAAAACGCCTGTTTTTTTCAGGGTTTTGTGTTGTTCGTCTTTCCAAATTTCTGATGAGTATGTGTGTGTTGCTTGGTCACTGTTTCTGTGTGTCAGTCTTTCCCGTTGAAAGAGTTATTGTGTGTGTGTGTGTGTGTGTGTGTGTGTGTGTGTGTGAGTGCTGTGGAGGTGAAGTGCAGCACTTACTCTAGCAGACTGAAGAAGTTCATCAGGTCTGTTGTGTGTGTGTGTGTGTGTGTGTGTGTGTGTGTGTGTGTGAATGCTGACTGCACAACAAAGAAGGAATTTTGCAACTCGTCATGAACAAGAAGTAAAATATCGAGAGATGTTGTGAAAGAAGGTGAGAGAGAAACTTGGATGAGGTTGTCGGAGGAGGTTCGTCAGGGAATGACAGAAATACAGGGAGAGTGAACCAGTTTGTGGTGTTTTTATGGTGTGTGTTTGAGGGAGGTCATGTGCCACACGTTTACACAAACACACGTTTACTTAGCTACCTAAATGAGCACGTAGCATAGACTTCTGTTGATTTGATATTAAGCCAATTATAATTAGAATAACCTAACCATAATTCTAAAAGAATATGCTCTCTTTTTAAATGTAATTCATTAATCATTCCTCAAACAAAACCCGAGTAAACACACACATCTTGTCTGACTTTGTCAAATGATGAATTGGAGATTTTGTTGTTGTTGAGGCTTTTTGTACAAAACATTATTCATGACAATATTTATTTAGACATACTTGGTGATTAAAATCAGACATAACACACGTGATTGAATATATTTAGCTTGAACTGCAGTTCAAAAGTCAGCTTTAATGTTTTTGAACGCTCACTAAGGCTGCATTTATTTGATTAAAAATACAGTAAAACAGAAAAATGGTGAAATATTATTACAATTTAAAAGAACCATTTTCTATTTGAATATATTTTAAAATGTAATTTATTCCTGTGATGCAAAGCTGAATTTTCTCC